TTGGTAAGGAACAGCAATGTGGAAGTGCAAGTTGAATAAATCCTTTCCTCTCCAACTTGCTTCTTCACCATGATGTTAGTGCAGGAATAGAAACCCTAACTAAGACAGTTGGTGTTGACTCTGACTATGATATTTTCCCAGAATGCACCTAGGGTAATGAGCCTATCCAGTCTTATAGCTAGGCATCATATCTTAGTTGGTTAGTCAAAACAATGGATACAGTATTTGTTGACTTAAGTCGATATCATGTGAAACTATATCTGATTTCTTATTAAGGTCAAGAATTTTGGTTACAGTTATTCGAAATATCCAAATATAGCACTCTTCCTAATTTATTTCATTGGCATTTCATAATTATTTCTGACTGAAGTTGACTTGCTTAAAGCTTTCACCCCACTGTAGTTTTACCCTTTGTGTGATGTGTTATTCTCTCTCAATGCACACGAAGAATCTCTCAAATAATTGACAGTAAATTCACCCTTGAATATTCTGATGTAACCTACTAATCAGTTATTTGAACAATTTTGTCCAATTTCTCTTTTGAAACATGATCCTTGGTTTTCCAAATATCACTAAACAAGAGTGACAAAATATTCCTTGCAGGACAAGACTGTTATCTTGAAAATTATATCTATATATTTACATTTATACCATGTGCTACTCTCTGGGGCCCAATAGGTACATTTCAATTAAACAGAATATAAATCATTGAAAATTATTCACCATCAGTAAAGGTAGGTAGTACAATATGCTCTTTGTCTATGAACAGGTCCTCAGCTCCAAGACTGGCTTTGTAAAAGCATTAAGAACCTGACTTATCGGTGGATACCACTCTTTGTCTTTTAAAAAGTGATATAAAATTGCAGCAGAATTACTGGCTTGTCAAAAGACGTCTTTTACACATTCACACCACAAACTATGAAATGATTTTTGCATCAGTTTGTTCACAGACATAATAAGTGTACATTGTTGATTGCACAGTGGAGGTGGTGTTTCACAGACCTGTATTTGTCTAAAACACCGAAAAACAAGCCCTTAGGCAACTGCCCTCTCACCTCTATGCTGCCAGTCCTAAGACACCAGATTTGCTACTACTTGTAAGAGTACTCAGACACATTAACCCAAGTGAAACAAGTGTGCAAAATAAATAAGTCACTTTAACCTCAAATGGAGATTCAGAAAAAAGGTTGAACTTGTCATTTTTAAAGGTAGCAATTTAATTTGAAAGACATATTCACCAAAATCTTGTAGGTGTGTCTGAGTGTGTATGATCATATGTGTGTCTGGGTGTGTATAATCATATGTGTATATGAGTGTGTATGATCATCAGTGTGTCTGAGTGTGTACAATTGGATGTGTATCCGAGTGCATATGATTGTATGTGTGTCTGATTGCATATGGCTTGTAAGTGTGTCTGAGTGTGTGCGATGGTTTGTGTATTTGAGTGTATGATTATATGTTTCTGTGTGTGTATGATTGTATGTGTCTCTGAGTGTGTATGATCACATATGTCTGAGTGCATATGATCATATATGTGTCTGAGTGTGTAGGATTGTATATGTGTTGAGTGTGTATGATGGTTTGCATGTATGACTGTGTATGAACATATGTGTGTCTAAATGTATATGATCATATGAGTGTCAGAAGGCGTATGATTGTATTGTGCCTGAATGTGTTTGATCATGTGTGTGTATGGTCATTTGTGTATATGAATGTTTACAATGACATGTGTGTCTGAGTATGTATGATTCTTTGTGTGTTTGAGTCTATATGATCGTATATGTGTCTTAATGGGTATGATTGTGAGTATCTGAGTGTGTTTGATAGTATGTTTGTCTGGGTGTGTATGGTCATGTGTGTCTCTGAATGTGTATTATCTTGTGTGTCTGAGTGTGTATGATTGTGTGTGTGTTGGCAGGAATTGCAGTGATATTTTTATGTGTGTTAAGCCATGCTGAATGACACTTTCAGTCTGCTGTTTTTTTAAAAAAATATATATTTTCTCAATAAATAAAAATATGAATCAGGTTAATATTTTCTACATAATGAAATAAAATTAGTAATTAGAAGACACTTTGACATGCATTTTCTTCTCCACTCTTAACCTTCTAAACACTAGCTTAAGATGCAGTCTTCTTGATTATGCAAACTTATTTTAGATTTATGGAATTAAAGGCAGGATCCAGAAGTAGAATCATGAAAGTCTGCACTTGGGATGATGATATATTTTCTTAGGATTATATAAACAAATGAAGCTCTGTGTGAATCATCACGTCATTTTTTATTTTAATTCAGGTTGTCTGAGGGAATATATTCAAAGTCAGCTTTCAGACTCATAAGCATAACACCTAAAAGCACAAAATCTGCAATAATCACAATGAAATTTAGTTGATGAATGGGAATTTGATATGTCATTTATTCCATTTAAAAATTTTTAAAGTAATAGATTGACAAGTTTTCCTGCAGTCCAGTTTTTCAGAAAAGAATATATAAGTAAAATTAAAGTGTCAAACCAGATGTGCTGACTCACACATGTAATCTTAGTGCTTGGAAGTCTGAGCCAGGAGAATTACTGTTATTGAGAGGCTGGGGTGACCTACACATGCCTTCTGAGTGCTGGAATCACAGGCTTGCAATGCCACACTCAGTTCATGTGCTGCTGGGGATACATCCTAGGGTTTTGTACATGATAGGCAAGCACCCTGAAAACCTAGCTACATCCCCCGCAAGATGACTTTTACAATTATTTCTTTTACTTTTAAGGATTATAATATCATTATATCATTTTACTCTTCCCTTTTCTGCCTTTCAATCAATACTCCCATATACTACCACTTGCTCTCTTTCAAACTTGTGGCCTCACTTTTTAGTAATCGCTGTTACATGCATATGTGTGTGTGTGGGTATATATACATATATCTCTAAATATAGTTTTTATAGAATGTATGCATAGTATAGATGGTATAATATATACAAAAAGAGCCTAGCTCAAACATCAAAATTAACAACAAAAGTGTAAATCTTAAATAAGATTATCAAAGAATGTAATAACATTCCACGATGTAAGATAAACAGAAACATAACATTGTTCATAAATATATGAAAATATATCTTTCTATTAAAATAAAAATGGCCCAAAATGGGACATCTATGGCATGATTTCCAAGACAGAGGGCACATTATAGAAGAGGGCATGGAAAGACTTGAGGAAAGTGAAAAATGGGGAAGAAGATAGTGAGTGTACTTTCCTAGAACAATATGGACATAGACGTTACCATTGTGACATGTATACTTCTTGACCTTTGATTTTCTTCTTAATTATACCTGAGACTTTATTCCATCCCATATTTTTATTTTCTAGTTTAAAAGGTTAAAACCATCCAGGATTTTGTTACCTGATGATAATTGACACTGTCACCAAATTGAAAGCTTAGCTCCTCCTTAGTGTTTTCTCACATCTAAACAGATAAGGAAATGCCCTTAGAAATGTTTTTGTGGTCTCCTCCAACCCATTTAGAGCATGTTCCACAGCAATCAGCACTGTTTCTGTACTATTTTTGGCACACAAGACATTTCTGAGATTGAATAGTACCAAAGAAAGTCTACTCTTTATGTATTTTCTATTCTGTTTCATCACTTGTTCCTTTTCAGTGCTAAAGGATTATAATTTTACTCTTAATAATGCATAATTTTAATAAATGAAATATCAAAGCTATAAACGTGAACACACAGTAGGTGTGTCTTTCAACTGTTGTGTGTAAAGAAATGCAGGATGGGAGGGATCAGGGTGAAGACAAGGCGTGAGAAGAAGTAGATGGTAATTTGGAATAGCAGCAGGGCTGACAGAAGTTGGGAGGAAATGTGAGGGTATTTGTGGTTGTATATAAGTATGGCACATTGTATAAAAGTATGATATCATTGAGAGTTAAAAGTAAATAGCTAAATATAAAAATATATTGGGCAGGTATTTGCAGAAATTACCAAATAATTATGAGCATATTCAAAAATGAAGCTAAACAATGAACAAACCACAATAGCTTATAACAATGGGAGGGAAATTTACTTGATATTATTAAGTAAATATCATCTGAACATCCCAGGAGAAAACTGCTGTCTCAGCCCATTGTTTTGTTGTTTGATGTGATCATCGTGCAAGCCTTTTAGGTCTATAAAGTCTTTATGCTTCCCCAGGTGGCGTTCTGTGGACACTGGGAGTTACCTGAGAGCTAGAGCTGCTCCCTGGGAAGAGAACGAGAGAAACAAGGATATTAACAATATTTATAATCCAAGCAGGAGTGTGGTTCAATGGATAGATGCCTTGCCTAACATGAAGCTCTGGGTTTGTTCTCCAGCACTTCCTGTACTTGGTAGGGTCAGAGTTTCCCATATCCCTGCACTCAGGACATGGTGGCAAATAATCGGAATATATCGTATATTCTGGGACCCATAATCAGAACATCTTGTATTAAAAAAACCCATTTTCATTAAAAACAAAAGAAAACAACTACTGAGAACAGAAGGAAAGAGACATGAAAATAGCTATATTTTAACCCATTCTACGCCCTCCTATCCTCAATGTTTACAATGGTTCCCAACACAGAAAGTCATACAGTAGTTGTAAATTGAATTAAATTTATTTTTAAATAAAATATTGTTGAATCAAAAAATTGCCCCTGACACATAGGAATGACGTTCTGACTATAAGCTCATAGTCCAGTGTTTAATGTACTTATATAGAATAATTAATTAATGTTTGTTAGATCAGTTAAATATGTTTATTAATGACGATTTTAAAATGTAGATCATGTAGATCCACAACATTATTGACTGAATATAATAGATAAAGCCATAAATTCGATTGGGAGATTATAGATTCTTCCAGAGTAATTGAAGGCCAGTTCCTTCCAGAGCAAAACGTCAATATTGTCTCTATAATAATGAGAGCATTTTCCTCTCTAAAGATGGACAAATTAATGATAGTCTGAAGATCAGCAATTCACTCAGTAGAAGCTGGAGAACCCATATCCTCCACAGCATGAAGGGCGGCGGCAGCTGTAACCATAGCCTCCATAGCCGGAGCCGGAGCCATAGCCTCCGAAGCCAGAGCCATAGCCGAAGCCTCCGAAGCCTCCATAGCCAGAGCCATATCCGAAACCTCCGAAACCTCTGAAGCCAAAGCCAGAGCCGTAGCCCACTCTGCGGATGCTGTTACATCCGCAGCCCAGGCCTCCAAAGCTGCCATAGCCATAGCCCAGGCCTCTGTAGTAGCCACTGTAGTAGCTCATGGTGTCAGAAGAGGAGAACTGTTTTGCACTGAAGATAAATTTGAGTGTGTGTGTGCCTAGCTATCCAGAATGCTTTTATACCCTGAGTTGAGTGCACTAAAAAGGGACAGGTTATCTCATCTCCACGCAACAGAATAACTTCAAGTCTATAAATTCATTTAAATAGTTTCTTTGTTACTTAACAAAAGGTCCAAACTTGTACTAAGGAATTGTTAGTAATCATTATTTTTTAATGAGTTTGCATTCCAGTAAAGAAAATGCTTCCAAGATGAAAAATGATTTCACCCTCTTCAAAGGCCACGCTAGTGTTCTAATTAAAATCTTCTAATCTGGTTGATAGTTTCCAGTAACCTTGTAATTATGTAACCTCGGAGTGCTTTTCTTTTTAATTTGCATGGCATTGTTTTAGCTAGCTATCATTCTTTTAGCAAAAGGTTTGTGCCTCCAGGTGCTTAGGGCATCACCAGAAAATCCTTAGTGATTGCCAAAAAGAAAAACACCATTTGTTGACTCATTTGAATTTTCTTGACATTGACCCCATCAATTCTTTGTCTACTTTCATCCCTCAAGACATCAACCTTCAATGGCTTGAATGCATTAAGACATGTGGCTTCATTTAGAACCTTCATTGTACTTTAGACGCTTCTGGCAGGCATCTTATTCTATCTCAACCTTCCAAACACAGCTCAAGTGTCAGCTTCAGAAACATCTCTAGGAAGTGTCCAGGTGCTTCCACCCATGTCACTGTAGAATATACTCTGGAGTGCTAACAAATGCACTGGACATAGTCCTATCCTTTCTCATCACATGTTAGAGTGTCATAAGAGCCAGCGAGCTGAAGTCTTTTTCCTAGCATTGTGTTAAATTGAGTAAGGAAAAGACAAGGAGACATTCATGTCGCAACATGGAAACAGAATGAATTAAGACTGAATAAAAATAACTTATATGCAGGCCATGATGAACTTCTAATGACCAGCTCAGCCCACAAATTCAGAAATGCAAATAATCTTCATCTGCACAGCAGATTATGATTCAACCAAATAGAAAAGTTCATTAGTTAGCTGGTAATTTTGGGTAGAGAAAGAGATGGAGAGGCAAGGACCGTTCCATAAATCAAAATTCAGAGACATAAAATGAGAGATGGCTCAGCTATTAAGAACATTTGCTGATTGGTTTTATTTAAACCGATAAAAAGTTAAAAAAAAAAAAAAAGAACGTCAGAAACTTTCCACTAGAAGCTGGTGGAGGGTTCTGGCTAACATTCTTTTAATTTGAGTGATGCCCTTCATAATAGGTTTATTTCAAAAGCATAGAATTTGTGTGGTTCATTGATTTGTATTGGGAATGTGTTGGATGATTAAGATTGTACAGCTGCCATTCCAACTCCTACCCAAGAGGATGAAGATATCATTAATAACAAAACAGCCAGTTTTAACATCATTGTTTAATTTCTCTGTTATGGTGTAAGGAGACAGGAGTCAATTCCTAGTATTCACATCAAGTGGCACACCAATACTTTGAACCCTACCTTTATGGAATCTAACCACTTCTTTCTTGGTACCGGCACATACATTCTCATATACTCAAGCATGCACACACATGCACGTGGATGAGCACACACACACACACACACACACACACACCACTCACTAATTAAAAATGGAACAAATATTTTTAAAATCAAAGAGTAAGAATAAAAATGAATAGCAGAATGAAGTTAACTAAAAATTATAGGAAATAGCTAAAAGTGTACAAATCACATCTATATGAACACTAAATTCTAGTGCAACTGAGGAATAGTGGAGTCAAATAGAAACATAATGAATGACATTGGATAATATCAGAAAATAAACAGAATAATAAGGGTGTGTCTAAGAAAAGAAATAAACAGAAATGTTAGTAAAGTAGAAGACAGGCAAACACTTAATTGACATCTTATGGAGTCTGTAATAAGAAAGATTAGTCGTGGCTCCAGCTGGATATGTAGCAGAGGACTGCCTTATTGGGCACCACTGGGAGAGGAGCTCCTTGGTCCTGTAGAGGCTTGATGACCCAGGATAGGGGAATACTTGGGCGCTGAGGCAAGAGCAGGTAAGCAGTTGGGGGAGCACCCCCATACTGGCAGAGGTGAGGGAGGAGGAGATAGGCGTCTTGTGGAGAGGTAACTGGAAAAGGGGATAACATTTGAAATAAATAAATAAATAAATAAATAAATAAATTACCAATAAAAATGAAAAAAAGAAAGATTAGTCAAAGCAGTATGCAAGCTTACAGTCTAAAATGAAAAGATACCTTCAGTCTGCACACTGGCATAGCCATTTGTTATGTAGGAATATGATTAATAACTCACAAATTCAAGTCATTTTCAAAGATCTTGAGGTAAATACAGCTGGGAGGGTTGCAAGGCAGTGTAAGGCTGTTTAATGCCAGATAAGTAACTATGAAACTACAGAGGATTAAACAGCAAAATAAATGTCATAGTTTAGTTCAAGAAATGGAGGACTTTAAGGATTAAGAAATATTTCTCAGAGTATCTTGGAAATTATTCAAACACTTACAATGGCAAGAATATTAGATCTCAATATAAATTTCAAAGAGTGATTATGAGACAGGATTTTATGTAGTTTCATTAAAACACAAGGGGGAAAATGAGTGCAAAAGAATTCATACCCAAGCATTCAATTACATATTTTTGCAGGAATAAAGCCAGTCTTATTATTGTAAAAATCTAGGAAGATTCAGAGTCATGAGCCTGTCTGGGTCGATGAAGTCGGGATTTAACAGATACCCGGGAAGTCTTATGCAACCAGCTACTGCTATGAATCTCTGTGCTCTTTGCTAAACTAACCCGAAGCCAAGAATGAGTAAAATATTATGTAACTAAGATGCATAGAAAGAGTAAGGGTTATTTATTCACTTTATATCCCAATATCAGACCCTTCCTACAGTTCCCCCCTCACATAGCTCTTCCCCCACTTCCTCTTCCCCTTCTCCTCAGGAGACCCCATGAGTATCACTCCATCCTGACATCTCATGGGGGACTAGGTGCATCCTCTCCCACTGAGACCAGACAAGGCAGTCCCGTTGTGGGAAGAGGATCCACAGGCAGAGTCAGGACAGGCCCTACTCTAGCTGTTGGAGACCCACATGAAGACCAAGCTGCATATCTACTACAAACGTGAGGGAGAGGGGGCACTAGGTCTAGTCATTGCTTGCTCTTTGGTTGATACTCCAGTCTCTAACGAGTCTAGGTTAGTTGACTCTGTTGGTCTTCTTGTGAAGGCCTTAACCTCTTTGGGTCCCTCAATCCTTCCCCTAAATCTTCCACAAGACTCCTCAAGTGTCACTTAATGTTTGGCTGTAGGTCTCAGTATAGAATGTGCAGCCTTGTCTTGTCCCTGATTTTAGTGGGACCTTGCTTCAAATTTCTCTCTATTTAAGTTGATGTTGGCTATTGTATTGCTGGATAGTGCTTTTATTATGTTCAGGTACGTGCTTTGAATTCTTGATCTCTCTAAGTCCCCTCTTCCCCCTCCTTTCCCCCTCTTGCTCCAGCCATTGCTCACTCCCGCCACTCACTCCAACCCCCAATCACTCAGGCCCCCAATCACTCTGGCCCAAAGGTTTTTTATTTATTATACGTAAGTACACTGTAGTTGTCTTCAGACACCCATATTAGGCATCAGAGCTCATTACAGATGGTTATAAGCCACCATGTGGTTGCTGGGATCTGAACTCATGACCTCTGGAAGAGCAATCAGTGCTCTTAACCGCTGAACCATCTCATCAGCCCCTCTCCAAGACTTTTAACATGAAGTGGTGTTGGATTTTGTCGAAGGCTCTTTAGTAGCATCAGCAAAGCACTGATTCAGTCCTCTTCTGATATTTTCTCTGTTATTTCACCCACTTATATCATCATTCATATCCATGGTACACTATATATTATAATGCATAAAGAATTATGTATTTCTTCCTTAAATGCTACAAAATCATGTTTTATGATAGCATTAAAAACTGTTACTGAGAAAGACTAGTCTTTGCTAGGTAGAGTAAGAAAGAACAAAGCACCTGTACTCTGGTTCACTATTTAAAATATTGAGTTAATTACCATCAACCAGTCATTTACCATTCTGTTTTGTTCGTCTTTGGTATCAACTCTTAGATTCCTCATTTAGGTGAGATTTGATGGCACTTTGTGGTTCAAGGTCTTACGGATTGCTGAAAATTGCAGAATTAAATTATACTTTTTACAGGAATGATGAGTTAATAATTCTGATATTCATTTAAGAAGGAATAAAAAACACATAAGCACACGTAAACTCCTCTACACACACAAACATACACACATACAAACATACAATAAATGATGCAGTGTCCACCCATCTACACACACACACTACACAATGAAATGTACAGTCTTCTATAAAGACACACATGCTACATGATGAAGTATATGTTCCTTTACAAACACACACACACATGCTACAAGATGATGACACACACTTCTACACACACAAATACAGACACACATAGACAGACACTCACACATTCACCCATACAAGTTATATGATGCAATTGTATACCCCTCTCCACACACACATACACAGACATACACACACACACACACATGTGTGTGCACATGTGTGTGCTACATAATGCATTCATTTCAGAGATCTACTAAAATATCAAAGAAATAATTGTTATTCAACATATATTGTTCTAGGACACTAAAAGTCAGTATGTCCTCAAATACTTTTTCTGAAACAGAGCATTTAAATCTAAACACTGTAACCATAGCACAGAAAGAGATTGCCTATGAATACGTATGCAAAAAATACTAAAGAAATTATTAGCAAATAAAATACAATATCATTCTAAAAATAATACAAAAGGATTTACTTCAAGAATACTAGACTTATCAGAGTGAGAACTATTCTCTTTGTTAGCTATTTCTATATTAGTTGTTTTCTCACTTCAGCAGCAAAAATATTTCACAAAAA